TGCATCTTAACTGCGTGGGCAACAAAAATGTTGCCTTTTCAAAAAGCAAATGGTTGAATTGCAGATTTTGCTGTCCCCTTGTCAGATATCAACCCGTGTTCCAACCGCATTGAGATATTTGACACCATGTACACAGCGAAACACAAGGTTTCGTACCACACTTGATTAGAATCTCAGGAAAAATATGCATGCCAGGACACGAGGACAGGATAGTTTAGACCCAGAAGGGCATTATCTCTGTGTTGAATGAGATGGGTGACTGCCATCTTCTGGCTCCCGGCCGACGATAAAATATACATGGTTGTGTAGAAATATCATCCATCCATGCTGTGGAAAATTTCATGAATGTTGAATGGAAGCAGGAAACTAAAGATGGAAGTTGCACCGCACGACACAAACTTGGTCTTGCGAGTGTGAAGTCAGAGGCATTTCCCATCACACTCTTCAATCATCATGAGAGGCTATGTAAAGGAAAAGATCCTCATCCGCTGCTGTTTGATGCGATCTGCAGAAGAGAGAGATTTTTGTACCTTTTGAATTATGATTTTGCATGTTCCTATTCTCCAATTTTTTCTCTTCCATGCCCGTTTTGTACATCTTTTGTATAGCATTTAAAGGCTTTCTTCTTATTTATTTTATTCATTTCACCTTTTTCATCGCTTCTACAGTTTTCATGAACTTGAAGATTTTATTGACGATTGCAATGCTGCACCTTAGGGTCTAAGTCCTAAATTACAGACCTAGTACTTCAGGCTGATTGTGCAATATTTTGCGGCTGAAATAAGGCCAACGTTTCAGGATAATAGTTTCTTATGATTTCATTGAAGAGTATACCAACTCCAGTCTCTTCAGAGTCTGTGGTATGAATCACTCATGGTGAATCAAAGGGATTTACATTAGCCATCAAAATGCGGTTAATTCTGTGGTGCAATCAGACTGTCATACCCTATGCCATGCGAAAGCAATGAACATAATTGAGCATGGTATCCATGGCCATGCATTGTCAATGCACTTTTACCATCCGTGATGTTTAATGCCGGCTAATTCCAGTGGCGAAAGGAGATGGTTAATTTCATAAGTGATTTGGAATGATGGGGCGATGAGCTCACTCTACAGCTAGCATACATGCCTAGATCGGCTGCCATTTGGCTAATTTAGGGATGCCCTTCGTGGTTCATGTATCGGTTCTATACCTCGACCTGGCTTTGTATTCATCAGACACTGAATGAAAGGATGAACATGATGAACAAATATGATAATGGGTGATTATGATGTCATCAAATTTCTACTGGTTAATGAATGGCAATGAATCACCAACCAGGCATAAACATTTAATAGTGGATTTCATTCTTGGCCATTGGTTTTATTATGGCTTTATGGGAAAAATCCCACTTTCCCTAATATTTTGCCATTGTTTCTAATGATCACCAGAGTCAAAGTAAAATTTGCTAAATATATATTTTTATTCTAAACCAATTTTCTATGGTGATGTTTTGAAGGATAACGTGGAAATGATTAGAAAAAATATCTAACGAATCGTGAATCTTCAGATAGAAAGCAGGGGAATCTTGCAGCTAGTGTTTTTAAGGGGGGAGGAAAATCACAATCAAAATAGACTTGACAGTCCAAATCTATTTAAGTGCAAATGGGCTCAGGACCGATTTTCCTGAATTTCATTCATCATTAGGTCTTACAGCATTGCACATCAAACAATGACGTCAAATGCCTGCCTTGTTTTCCTGAAAGGGCTGCCTCTGCTTCCCTGAGCTCTGTCTAGTAGTTGATGGTGAAGATTATATTTATCTTGCTGCACCATTTGTTGTGGTTCTTCTGAATAATTTTCCTGTTGTCCAGAAATACTTATTCTCAGCTTTCGAATATTGATTTTCCCCAAGATGGAGAGAGAGATTACTTTGCTCATTTTTGTCCACTTTCCATGTAGATAGACCTTGAAATCAGTATGTATTTAGCTATAGAAAGCTTCTCCTTTTCCCATTCTCATCCCCTCTAGCTCTCTCTTCCCCCTCCCCCTACTTTCTAATTTTTCTCTTTCTCTTTGGCCCTTACTATGTTGCATTATTTGTCTTGTTTTGTTAATTTCCCTCATTTTGATCTCTTTCCCTATCCTTTAACTTAGCTATTTTGTATTATTCCATCTCATGATTGCACCACGCATCTCTTCTTCTCATTCTAACACGTATGTGCTCCAAGCCCAACTTCTCCTGTAATTTGTCTCATTTGATACCAATCTCCTCTTCTACCTCCAGCAAATGTCCTCATTTCCATGGCAACGTCTCACCCATGCATGTTTTGCTCCACTGGTACATTTCCCGCAGCATCTCGTAAAATTAGGAGGCAAATATCCATCAGACGTAATAGGATAGCCAAACAGAGATACAAGCTCTGCGACCAGGGTGCACATTTGAAATGCAAATGTTGAGATGTAAAGATACATTCATTGCAACTGTTCTATTTTGCAACATTGAATATTAAATCACCAAGAGGTTAGTGGTATCTAGGTGAATAGAGCGGGAAGGGGAGGGCCGAAGGGAGAAGGGGATGCCTGCCCCCTGTACATCTAATTTTCCGATCTGCCTCCGCTTGTTGCCATATAAGGAAGGTTCGGTGGAGAACCTGACAGGTTTTAATCAAACGAGATGATGTGACACCATGGCACAAGGATGCATGCCCCGGTATATACCAAGGGTGAAACTGAACCGTTTCTTCAAATGAAAGAATAATAGCTGGAGGAGAGAGCGAGCTACGGAAAGGATGACAGTCATGCTGACAAAATGTTTGAAAATGTTAGCTGTAATACATGCAATCTGCCTGAATGGTCTGGTCTGGTCATATCTCTACCCTGCTTACTTTTCCCTCTCTCTCTCTCCATCTCATTTCTCTAACTCTCCCTCTCTCTTTCTCTAGCTCTCTCTCTCTCTCTCTTTCTTTAGCTCTCTCTCTCTCTCTCTCTCTCTCTCTGCTCTATACTGCAACCCCTCTCTCTTCTCTACTCTCCTTTTCCACTCTTTCTCCATTTCTCTCTTTCTCTTCTTCTTTCTCTTCTTTCTCTCTCCCTCTCTCTCCCTCTCTATATCTCTCCATCTTCTCTACCTGTCTGTCTCTAACTCACCCGGTTCTTGAAGGATGACATTAAGTAGGCCGCAGTCCAATATTTATGAATTCAAACCCAAAATAGACAAGAGCAAAGATGTGCTTGTCACTCAGGCATGAATCAGAATGATCTATACAGAACACCTGAGAACATTTCGGACACTTGAGTGGGGAGAGAATAGAAAGGTAGATTCAAGAAAAGGAGGAGAATGTTTGAATTTGTTGTTAAATACCTAAGTGTGTCTGCTTTTGATCATCTGACACAAAACCAGTGTTCATTGGTTTAAACCCTTTGTTGATATGTTTGTTTCATATGAAAATGAACTGTCTTTGACAAGAGTAATTACTTGCAATAAAAAAAGTTAAGATGTTAGTTTCTTGGATTACATTGAGAATACAAGCAGATTATTTAATCAAAAACATTGAAAACAGTCATCTCACTTTTATAGTTTCTTCTGTCACAGATAGTTTAGACTTTGTGACCAACATGAATGTACCTTTAAATTGAAGTCCTCCGTTTGAGGTAATTGTTTGAAATGAGTCAATATGTTTCCCTGATTCAAGAAGGTTACGGAACAATGCCTTTGTCCAATCACCTTGGTTGAGATGTTAAGCCTACCCTATCTTAGACACGCTCTCTCTCTATCCTGGACTTTTCAATGATCCTCGGGCTCAAACAACTTTAAACAAAACCCATAGCAACCATTCATGCCAGAGAAAGCATTATGCTTCAGTTTATTTGATTTATTCGCCAGCTCCAGCACATTTCCCTTGAGCCCATGCCTGCGTTGGCCAATACCCACTCACCCACAACGCCACTATGCTTGAGAAACCGAGCTAATTTCTGCTCCTTACATCTCCTTCCATCTATCGTCTGCTTTGGGATTCCTCCCTATGAAAGAATCTTTCTTGCTCCAGTAATTCCCGTCCTGTTGCCGTTTTGTAAGAATGTCACTGCTAAAGAGAAAGGGGAGCGAAACAGTAGCTTTTATTGGACATCACTCATGACCAAAGGTGAAAGTGGCATTGTGATAATACATCTAACAATGGTGGGAAACATGAACAATCAGGAGCAAATCGCAACGAAAGGGGAATTTGCTCGTTGACAGGGCCTTCATTATTTATAGACCATGTTCCATGTTACATTTAATCTCTAATGATTAAATGTTTCAGACCTTTATAAGGTCATATTTGAGACAAAATCTTGTGATCAACCACTTGATTGTCCCTCACTCAACCTTCTGTATAGTCCATGTGTGAATGTATTGGGATTGTTGCCAAAGATTTGACACTTTGGAACATATGTCATCTGCTTAGAGCCAGAAAGACATTAATACATGCAAGGTAACCTCCTTTTGGCAACAGACAATATTATTAAATGGAATATGTTGTGGGTGTAGGATTGAGAAAACTTCTTTACAATCTCACTTAGATTTCCTTGGTTAATCCATTTCAATTTACATGATCTTTAGAATTCTCTACAGTGAATCTTCATTTAATCTAGTCCTGATTATCAGTATTCAATAATCAGGTAGTTAGTTGATTGCAAATATTTTTTGAATATTTCCAGACATTTTTGTGGATTAGAATAACACAGTATGATATATAGGCACAGAACTAATGCAGGGATATATGACAGGTAACTTACATTGGTTAGGGGAAAGTTGGTAACATTGTAGACCCTCTCTGCCTACCTCACCCCCTACCTCACCCCCTTCCTCACCCCCTTCCCTTCCTTACCCCCTTCCTTACCCCCTTCCTTACCCCCTTGCATCAGATGCTGGGGTTTTCCCCCCTCCCCTCACTGCCTTTGAAGCACCAGACTGTGAAATGGAAATATGACATCCTAACCGTTTCTATTCCACACCTCTTCTTTTCTCCACTTACAGGAAGACTGCTGCAACTACATCCGCGTTCTGCTTGTGCGCAAGAATCAGGTGTTTGCATGTGGAACCAATGCTTTCAGCCCGCAGTGTACATTCAGGGAGGTAAGTGTGAACAACTACATGTTATAACCAATGTGCACTTTCACATAAGATTAATAATCGGTGTAGAGCATGCAATGAAATCGATAAGTATAAATATCCATCTGTTTATTTCAAAATGACCTTTCACATTGGATGGATAATCTCTATGAAGCTTTTATATAAGTCAGATAAGTGTAAAGAACTACCTGTTATTTCAATGCGTTCGTTCACATAAGACTGATAATCACTATATGACTTTAATTCAAATTTAATTAAAATTTGATGGTTATGAACAACAACTTGTTATTCACAAAGCATAGTTTCAGTATAGATTGTTAATCTCTAATCATGAAGTTTCAGACAAATTAATCCAGTAATCTATCTAGCATCGCCCACTCAGGATTAAGGTATCGGTGGAAGTTGAATTTCACGAAGGACAGTCAGAAGATATTTATGTATCTGGGTCTTTTTTAATGATTTAAAAATCCTCTAATCATCTATAAAGCTGGAATAATTTGTATAATTTGTTGATTAGTCCATGGGAAAATGACAGATAATTAGCAAATTAGATCTTGGATCAAAAATGTTGTTTTAGAGCTAGAAGGGCATTAGTTCATGTTTGTACATTTACTTAGAATTAGTGCCCTTATGTGTCTTAGCAGATGATATTCTGTCTTCCATTACTAGAAATCTTCCATCTCTCAGAAGCTACTACAAACTATCTGAATAGGGGGTTGAAAGGTATACCCATTTCACTAGCATGTCATGTATGTAGTATATTTTCTCTCAAAAATCACTTTCCTTGAACATTTGGAGTGCAAATGTGTTGACCCCATGCCTTTGGGGTCAGTTTAGAGCTTCATCTGCAATATGTAATGTTCAGTTAGGGCCATGACATTGAGGGTAGACTTAGTGGGTGGAAAAAATGTTTTGCCTTCTTCAGCATCAACCTTTCAAAGGGGCGCCGGTGATTGAACCCTAAATGGTTGGTTACCAAGGTGATGTTTTGTCAACATTCCTAGCAATCCCTTGCATTCCTGAATGTTTGCTTACACTACTATGATCAGAGTTTAGGGGGGAGTGATCGAGATTGGGTTCTTGAGCTGAAAGGAGAAAGTTCTTTGTTTTGAAGGATTTAGAAGGCATTAGGTGTGTTTAGATACATTTGATGAAGCAGTCAAACCAACCCTCGGAGGATGAAGATTTGCGGCAACCATCTTTTCTTGATTTCAAGACACCAATCCTTTCAAAGTTTCATGTCTATTAATAGACCACCAAAAGTCTCAAAATGGATGAACCCTAGTAGAGGCAAAAATACTTCCTTTAAGAATCGAGAATCATGATCATTGACTGCACATATGCATTTGGTAATTCAGAAATAGTGGGGAAAGCACGGAAGGATTTGTTTGATAAAAGCATCGTAGTAGGTCTTGATTTCTTGATTTCAAGACACCAATCCTTTCAAAGTTTCATGTCTATTAATAGACCACCAAAAGTCTCAAAATGGATGAACCCTAGTAGAGGCAAAAATACTTCCTTTAAGAATCGAGAATCATAATCATTGACTGCATACATGCATTTGGTAATTCAGAAACAGTGGGGATAGCACGGAAGGATTTGCTCGATAAAAGCATCGTAGTAGGTCCATGATAGAAGCCTTAGGTAGGGTTTTAGGTAGTATGAAAGACACAGTTTGTCCTCGAGACAATTGTTTTTTTGTCAGGTAGGTGTTGGAAGGAAATGAAGGTGTAAAGTTAAAGAGCACTAGAGGCTATATAGTGTATGCAGAAAGTCAACACAAGAACTGTTGTAATGGTTGCACAACCACATACAGAATTTCTTTTCTTATCCATTTCTCTCATCCTTTATAGTTGTGTTTCTTGTATATTGCCGCTTTGGCATTTCTATTTATTGGACTGTTTTCAGATCATTTTAGCACATGAAAGGTCCTTTAGAGCACGCCTGCTCATAATTACCTTCGCAGAAGGAGCAATTCAGCAAAACAAAAACAAAATTTCTGCCACTGCATAAACTTTTAAGAGCAATACTATCCACAAGTGCCTGAAGAAAGAAAGTTAATCCCCAAGAAAAAACTTTGAGAAACAATCATTCTTCGGTCCTCCCACCTACTTCTTAGCCGATAAAACTGAACCCAAAACAAGAACGACACAGAAAGTGTGGGTGTTAATAACATCTTGAAACATTTCTCTCTCTCTTGAAATAAGTTTGCGGTTCTGATAAAAAATAACACACCCACTCACATACTCTCTCGGGGTACATTGAAACTCTTGGGGTGCTCGTTTTCGCACCGCACACTTTACCATGAGGTGGGACTGAAGAGGACGACAATTCTCTCTTTGTGTAATGCCATTGCATGTGTGATGAAGTTTATGCAACATTAATATTCACCCACTTCTGTGTATCCTCAGAGGGAGAGGGTAGCTGATAATGACTTGTTGACAGATGTTTTGGAAACAGGAATTTACATCAAAGAACAAAGATAATTTGTCAGACCAAACTCATGTGTCGTTTGTGATCTGTGTCAGATACGAATGACTGATGGCATAAGCTATTTCGTTTGTAGCAAGCATCCCAATATGCCCTGCAAACGTGTTAATAGCTAGATTTTGATGGACAAATCAACATCACAGTGTAATCTTGACAACTGGAATGATATTCAACCATTCAGAGATATTTTCAGGGTATATTTCATATACTGTCAAATAAACATTCATTTCAGACACATTACTTATATTTGTTCGGTAAATATCTTTAAAAAATAATATTGTATGGTCAAAATGATATCATATTACCAAATGGGTCTTCAGCTTAAATTGACTTTTGAAAAAGTATTGCTAAATAGACAAAGCTATCACAGACTTCTCTCTTATGACAATGGAATGTATTGAGGTATTAATTGCTGGAATCAATCCCGACCACATTTTAAAATTTCTTCATCATAATCTGATGGAAATCATTGCAGTAACAGAAATCAAAGACATCGATCTAATCTTCATAATTCTCAGGCAGACACAGAGAGCGTGACAGGGTATTCAATTCAAATTCTGAATTCAATGTTAGAGAAGACAAATAGTCTTCAATTGCCTCCCCCTCAATGCTAGATTGCTCTCGATGCTGAAATACGAGCCCCCTCGCGCAGTGACGGAGGAGAGGAAAACAAGAAAACTCAAAGAGAAGTCTTGAATCGTAATGCAGGAAGTTGATTCATAGACACGCATCTTATATAGTTAGCTTTTGGGAAATCATTATTGAAGGATTTCAAAGTTAAATGATAGGACAGTTGATGCAATCAGAGAAAATTAAGGATTCTCTAGCACCAGAACTTCCCCTTCCCCGTGAAACAGAATATGAGCTATCGTAAAATGATTCGTCTGCGGATGTGAGGAAGAGAAATATTGGAGACTTAAGAGTGTTGCATTGCTTGGAGAAAAAGAAACCACTAAGTATGACACCTCCTCTGGACATTTTACATTGATTGATTGATTTAAAAAAGAGGATGATATGTCCATAGATACTCTTACATACTAGAAGAGATGTGGAGGAGGGAATGGGTTTCTCTCTTAATCGACGATATTAAGGTGTTGAAGCCATGGGCGTTTTGAGAGGCAAAAACAGGATTCAAATGGAATGTTAATTTTTAGAGGAGGCATTAGCAAGATTTACAAGTAGTTGGGATGACATTTGGAGTAATGCTGTTGTTTGCGACTTACTAATCACTGGATTTGTATATATCATCAAATCTAAAGGTTACACTGTTTTTGTTACTCCGGATGCAACAAAAATAATATCATAGCCTTTCAGAAGAAGGTTGATTCGAAGGTGAATTGTTTCTCTGCTGTAAATTTGAGATCATATGGGGATTCCAATAACTGATCAATTTAATCAGCTCACATGACAAACTCTTTTTACTGACTGCGGCCTTTCCACTTCCAGGCCTGCCTGTAGCTTTCTTAGTCTGTGTGATATTTCAATGAGTTTCCTATCTTTAAACCTTATTAATCTGTTCTCTATGGCAGATAACAGAGAGAAGCCCTACACATGGAATCCTGCAATGTTCAGTGTCGCAGACATTTCAATGGAAATTGTTATAGAGGATTAAAACTGCTCTTTTAGCTGGTGAAATTCCAGAGGCAAAAAACCTTCTTATGTTGGGGAAACATAAAAGTGTCTTCAAATCCTGATAACATGGCAAATAAGTTCTGATTAGTTCCATGACTGCCTGCATTCTCTTTTAACAAAAGCAATAGAAGCAACTGGCTTTTGGGCATGATTGATATCTCTATGCATAGACTGGTAGAAAAACACTTAAAAACTCACTTGAAAATAATTGCGGTGTTAGGGCTGTGAGTTAAATAGAATTCATATTAAAATGGGTGCTATATAAGACATTGAAATATCACAACTGCGCTCTTTTGTCACAACCAGTCAACCAGTTCCATTGCAGATACTCCTCTTGACAATGTAGAATTGATTTGATTTTCACTAATGACTTTTGATAAAAGATATTTCACATGATATGCTTCAATCTGGATGAAGGAAGAATGCCGTGCCATGAGAAGCTTGAGTTACATATGAAGTCAAATTCACTTTCACTCAGTTAAATTGATGAATGGTGATAGAGGCAGAGAAGAGGGGCAGGGAGAGGTAGGTGAATTAGATGGGAGGGGGGGGGGGGGGGAGTGGAGGGGAACATCAGCAAAGAAAATCTTTCACCATATTTGTAGAAGAAGGTGCCAGTAGTGCTACCCTTTGAAGATGTAAACATATCATTCATTATGTGTTGTAGGGGGCATGGTATGCATTTTCATTGGATTAAAATCATGCAATTTCAGATATTTTCAATCTTCAGAAAAATTACAAAATTGAATATGCAGAACCAAACATGATAATGTTTGACATCTGCTGAGGGCCAGAAGGGAAATAACACACACCCTTTCATGCAGAGTCAATGCCTTTTTGGCTCTCAACTAGCAATACTAGAGACTCCTCCATGCATACTC